ACAGAAACATAAGCATGAAGCAAGTAGCGACAATCTTCCGAGCTAGAAATAGAAATTACAGAACTACAAGAACTACATGGGATGGCGCAGAATGCGTAGTTGTTGGAATTGCTCATCAGGCAGAAGCTCGCAAAGCAAGGACCTGCCATGAGTGACCCACATGTGGTCTTGCAAAGGCGGCATGATCACAGCAAGCTCATCTTGATGCAGCTGGCTGACACAGACTTGAACGACCCAGGCATTACCCAGCATGACTGACTTGATGATGGCAGAGCTCCACTCTGCAACATCAGCAGTATGCACGAGAGTATTGTACAACCATCCTTCCTGACGATGAAGAGTATGTAAAGCCCAACCCCACGTGAATCGCTCAAAGAAAAGGCAATGAAGCCAAGGCAGCTGCAAGGCAAACAGTCTTCGAATGGATGTAAAGGTGTGAAAGTGCACCTAATCAGGTTCCCTAAACCCTAAACCCAAAACCCTAAACCCAAAACCCTAAACCCTACATTAACCGTAAACCCTTGATTTACCGGCTTCTGGGGCCAGGCTGATGGTTTACGGTGCGAAAATCTGCTCGATGGCGTGATGTCGGCGTCTCTGAGCACCACAAACGCGCAAGGAGCTCTTCATGGGTAGTTTTCATTAGGGTCCCTTTTAGGGTCCTTTTTATAAGGGTGCCGTACTATATTGGGGACCTAAAAAGGGACCCTAATTTAGAGAACTACCCTCATGACAGCACAGGAAGGCCCCAAAAAAACAAGCGTTCCTCAGCTGTGCATCTTCGTCATCCACGAATCCGGATTCCGGTCTCTGTGAGCATCCCTCACTCTTTCAAACTCTACTGTCAAGGCTTTTGCAACTTCACATTCTGAGGAAACTGCTAAGCCCTTCTAAACCACGAAGCCTAAAGCCACAACCAGCAGCTCCCCCTGCAAGAGTCCATGAACATAGCCGTCCGGTAACACTAAACCTGACGTGCCAGAACTCTGAAGCTGAAGTCGGCCAAGCTGGGCCTCATACCCCGAATCCTAAATGGTTGCGGGTCTGGGACTAAGGGCCTACCTAGATTACCCCCCGTCTGATGCTATGCCCCAAGCATTGCTTAAACTCTACAGCTTCATTCGCAAACCTCAACTCCAAGTCATGTGCGCTGATACACAACCGCACCTAGCAATCGCTTCAACTCCTCCTTTGAGAAGTCAATCGTCCTCAAAGACGAGTTGAAGATAGGACAGCTGAGGGCTTCAGTATCCTTGATTGGCTCCCGGGTGAAGGCTCTTGCACCTCCTGAAGTCCTCGACCCCTAATTAAACCCTTTTTGGCATCAGGGCTTGTGCAACCTTATAGGATTGCATAAACCCTGACGGTCAGGGTGGATTCTGGGGAGCCTTGACTCTGACTATAGGGAATTCTTGGGGGGTCTAGTGACATTTAGGGCTTAGGGTTCGGGGTTTAAGCTTCAAGGGGATAAAATTCTCAGGGCTTAGAGCCTTACACTCGTACTGGGCAGGCACGCATTCGCGGGTTCAGTTGTGCCTGAAGATTGCTACTGTGACTTGCCAGGGCGGCAAGAACAACAAGAACATCCCGGCAAAGGGCGAAAGGGTTTAGGGTTCAGACATTGCTGCCAAAATTCTGATATATAGCCTCTGCCCCGGTCTCGCTGACGACATAGGTCTTATCTTCTCGCCACAGCACCTTTCCGGAGCTTATTTGCCTCCTGCATTGTTGCCCGAGTCACTAGGTAGGTGCATGGTCGATGCACGGTAGGAAGTCGTAAAGCGAGTTACCCCGTCATAAGACTGCATACCTCTTTGACCTTTGAATGTTACAATAATCTACATATCCTTGACACTATGTATGGATGGGTGGATGGATGGATAGACAGGCAGGCAGGCAGGCAGGGACGCAGGCAGCCAGCCAGCCAGCCTATGTGTGGACACATACACGCATTCGCAAAAACATGCAATGTGTGCGTGTCTCTGCTTGGAACTTGTGCATGCACTCAGGGGGAATGAATGCATGCATGTACGCATGCATGTCCGTCGTGCCACACGCGTATGCATATGTGCATTTATGGTTGCATAGGTAAATACGCATATATTTTCGTGCGCGTGCCCAATTCACTCGTATACCACGAAGAAGAAGGCCAGGCACATAGTCTGCAACATACCGTTCCGCTCGAGACGACAAACTGGCCTTGACCTTGCTTGCAGATGGCAGTGGCAGGCTATCCTGCTGCTCCTGAGGCCCAACAGGGCTCAAGCTTGAAAGCTCACAGAAGCGGAAAGGGTTTAAGTTTAGGGCTTAGGCTTAGACTAACAAGTCACCTTCACTATGCTTCCACTCACAAGCTGGCGCCACCTCCACTCTCTTGCTCACTCTTGTGCCTCCCCTCCCTCTCAGCCCTCTTGTTCACCTCCTCACCCGTGGCTGGGCCGACCATAATGATCGTGTCCTGCATCGCACAAACGGGATACCTCCTACTTGACAAAGAATTACTGCGTCAAGGCTGGACCGACACTAGCTTGGATGCTTAGGATTGAAGGGCTCTACGGTTGAGGCTTTAGGATTTGGGGAATCTGGAAGTAGCCAGAAAACCACTAGACGTTGAGTCTTGAATCGTGGCCTGTGCCCCAAACTCGCAGCAAACGGCCTGATGCAAGCGGTCCTTCTGCATGCCGCAGACATCGAGGCTGGTCTCCAGCTCCTTGAGGTGTCCCATCCTGGGACTATAAGGTTTACACTCTCACAACTCGGACAAGACAGGCGAGGTCTCAGGCGTTCTGGGTGAAAGAGAAGAAAGATAAAGATTATAAGGTTTAGGGTTTAGTGGTTCGCAGGCTTGGCCTTCCGGGTTTAGGCTCTTCAACTGGCCACAGCCTTCTGAGGTCTCCGGGTTGGCAGTCGGCTCGAAGAGGGCCCCCTTGCAACCATGACCTCTTAAGGCTGAAGTCCCACAGAAACCTTGTAGGGTTCAGGGTTTAGGGTTTAGGGCTTAAGGGTTAGGATTTTGAAGCACGGGGCTTGGAAGTCGAGCGCCCACGAAGGTCATGGGCTCAGGAAACATGCACGTGCGGAAAAAGATGCACTTTCAACGGCATGTTGTGATCTGACAGTGTAGGCCCCTCTATAAACTCATCAAGTTCACGATCGAACAAGGCCCGAAAAAACAAGTCATCACTCCCCCCATGAAGCACTGATGAAAGAAAACCGCAGCAAAGCGGCGGCTTTGAGTTCAGACGCCTCACTTCGGCCTCTTCGGCTCCGGGTTTTAAGTATTTGGGGTTTAGGGTTTAGGTATTTGGGGTTTAGGGTTTAGGGTTTAGGGGTTTAGGGGTCTAGGGGTTTAGGGTTTAGGGGTTTAGGGTTTAGGGTTTATGGGTTTATGGGTTCGAGCTGAGGGTTTTTGCCTTAGGGCGTTGTGGACCTTTGTGCCTGTTTAAACGCATCTTCTCCAATCCGCCGGAGCGTCTCAGAGAACCCCGGGGACATGTCCAACTCGTGGGTTTAGGGTTTAGGATTTAGGGTTTAGGAGGGTTTTGTAACAAACCTGCTTACACATTGCCCGCTTGGTTCCTCGAGCTTTTCAGGGACCCAAACCCAAACCCCAACCCAGCTTGCGAATCAGGGCTCACCTCACGAAACCCCAATCCAACTTCAAGGACTTATAAAATACTACAGTAATCTACAACAATCAACTATACTCATACTATAATAAACATACTATGATAATACTATAAGAAACTACAGCAATATTTTAGTCACACAATAATACTGAAATAATAGCACTATATGAAAACCATAATGGTACTATATGAATACTACAAGAACTCACTATTACGAATCAACTCGGGGGTGAGGCTTCGCACCCTCGAGACGTATTGCAATCCTGAGCCGTGAAACTGCCGGGTCTCGCAGGTGCAGCCACGGGGATAGGTTGGGGATTAGGGCTTCGGGTTTAATATTGTTGTGACTTTTCTTATTGTTATTCTTGTTATTGGTATTATTACTATGGCTATGAGTACTGTCATTTTAATCAGTATCACTGCTGACATTTTTCCTGTTATTGTTGTCGTAACGTTCTTGGGGCTCTGGGTTTAGGGCCCCAGAGTTCGCAAGGGCTCAGGCTTTAGGATTCAGGGCTCGGGACTTCGGGTAACTTAGGGTGGGGATGGTCCGCTTAGGGTTTAAAGTTTAGGGTTTTAGGGTTTAGAGTTTAGGGCCCCGAAAGACATGCACAGAAAAGCTAATCGATGCATGTGTGTACAAGCGGACACTTACACACCCGTCTATGAGACACCGACTGTGCTGTGTCGTGCCGGCGGCCCCAGATCACAACACCAGATCAACCGCTCACAGAACGTTTGCACAACCAGACCGAACCCTCGAACCTGCAACCCTGAACCTTAACTCTGAACCTAACCCTGAACTCTAAACCCTTTTGCAGCAGGCTTCTCTACCCTGGACCCTGAACGCTAACCCTGAACACCAAACCCTGAACCCTTTTGCAGCGGGCTTGCCTCGAACCCTGACCCTGAACTCTAAACCCTAAACCCTAAACCCTGAACCCTGTAACCCTGAACTCTAAACCCTAAACCCTGAACCCTGAACCCTATAACCCTGACACCTAAACCCTAAAAACTGAACCCTATAACCGAGAACTCTAAAAACCCTAGGACCTGAACCCTGTAACCCTCAACTCTAAACACTAAACCTATAACCCCGAACTCTAAACTCTAAGCCCTAAACCCTAACCCCAATAGCCGAGAACTCTAAAAACCCTAGGACCTGACTCCAAGGCCGAAAGGCCTCCCGCACGACCCGCGGCGGGACGAGGAGTCGCCTCAGAAGAGTTTAGGGTTTAGGGTTTAGGGTTTAGGGTTTAGGGTTTAGGGTTTAGGGTTTAGGGTTTAGGGTTTAGGGTTTAGGGTTTAGGGTTTAGGGTTTAGGGTTTTTCCGACTTCGAAGCTTCGGTGGGACCCGCGGGGTCACAGCATGGGGGGATATCCGGGGTACTTTAAGTGAGGTTTCAATAATAAGGGTTTGGGATATCAGGGCTCCTTTATATAAGGGTTTCTATAAGGGTTTGGAAGAGGGGCCTTAATAATTGGAATAGGGTTTTGGGCATTATGTAGACCCTTGCAACAGGGTGACTGATGTTCCTTGTCTGTTGTCCTGGTTATGGTTATGACTATGTTAAAATCCTATTGTTGATCCTTCTGCTTTTCATTGCCATTACTATCACGTTCAAGGGTTCACGGGCTTAGGGGGTTTCTGGCTTTGGGATTTGGGCCACGGGGCTTCTAGAAGTTCAAAGCTTTTAGCCGTGGTTGGGCCTTTGAAAACTGATCTTTCTTATGTCCGGAACCCATTCAGCCTTTCTGATTCTTCTTGGCCGCAGCACCCCATCACTCCCGCACTCACCTGTCTGAGTGGAATGCCGCTTGGCGGACATGAGTAGCTATGAGCCGTTTTACTGGCACCGAAAACATACCGGGAAGCCAATCGAAGCGAAAACTGCGATGACGAATTTGGCTCATGCTATGCGGCATGCTACTACTGCGTCTGCCACTGCCTGTCCCTGTTCGAGATGCCAGATCAATAAAGACCCCAAAAGCAAAACTCTGCTCATGGCGGTCTCTTAGAAACGGTCTGGACCCGACCTCACGAGGCTTGAGAAAGCCACATCTCCTGCCTACACCTGCTTTACTTCAGACATTTGCAGCGAGAGACTTGAGCTACTGCCAAAGCTTCACAAGCCGAAAACCACACGCCCCAAGATAACTGGGACAACCTGAATCCAACACTCAGTTCCGTGCGTATGAGGGATGTCTCGGTAGTTGGTCTCGCAGAGGCATGGGTAAAACTTGCTCTGGCCTTAGACATCGCCTTCTGGCGTTAAATCATGGCAAACTTCTCCAGATTTCGAAGTTCCCCAAACCCTAAACCCTAAACCCTAAACCCTATTGGAGGGCCGAGGCACTCCGCTACACAGTTTCATGTATGGCACCCGCTTTTGAGTGGTTTCCCCGACCTATCCAAATCTCATGGCTCCGGAAGATCCTGAGGTTTTGCCAGTCAGATGCTTCTATCGCCTGCAAGAGTTCCAACGGTTTAGGGTTTAGGGTTTAGGGTTTAGGGTTTAGGGCTTACTTCACGAAGTGATGAACATAGGATCAGAACGGCCAGCACCCAAACCATGTCCTTTCTCGCTCGAAGCTCGTCCTACCCTTGCTATTTGCGACACTGCTGCTGCGTGCTGTTGCTGATACTCATGATGACAGTGGTGAGGAAAAAACTTCAGCTGCTGTGGAAGGCGGTGGAGTCGCATTTTGGGAGTTGGTGTGGCAATGGGCCTTGAAGTTGCTGATGTAGCTCTGGTGTACACTGGCCCCTTTGGTATTTGCGTGTCCCTGTTGTGGCCCCCTGATTGCAGACATCGTGCCTATGTGTCTGCTGTCATTGTCACTTGAATCATGCTCTGGCTGCCACTCTTGATTCTGCTCTTTGCGGCTCCGTTTAGAGAATTCTCGCTATGACCGTGATGATGCTTCGTGTGCCTGCAGCGCTCGTTGATAATGGCGGCATTGCAATGATGTAAATTACCATACATGTCTCTGCTTCTTGCGCTCTGAGATGTTCTGCCTCGTGATGGGTCCTCCTGCGATGCTGCCAGCTGTGGATGGAAGGAAAAAGTCAAGCTAGAGGCTCCCTCGCTGCATAACCCCATCTAGGAGACATCCCCTATAAGGGTGCTGTTCCTAGGCCCTCCATCTTGCCCTTTACAATGCTTCAGTATTAGGGACCAGTGGACGGTATGTTTGACTTGGCGCCGCTGGCCCTTCTCTAAAGGGTTAACAGTTCCAGGGCTTGGGAGGCATACGCTCTCACAGCTCGTGCAAGGCAGCGGAGGTTTTCATCGGATCGCAGTCGGACAACAAAACATCACCCTACATGAGAAAAAATAATGCAACCATCCCCAAGATTGGAGCACTACTTGGCATGGCCACCGCACTACGGGAACGATAACTCTGATTGCAGGGATCCGGTTTTCTACGCCCGCAGCAACCTGTGCGTGCCACGCACCAGCAAGCACCACTGCACTTTGCTGCTGCTGTTGTTGTTGGCAGCTGTTGTTTCCGTTGCTCTGCCGTGGTAATGTTTTTGTTTGCGGAGTTGGTGCTGTTATTGCCGATTGTTGGTGATGCTGTTGCTCTGGCCCCATTGCTCTTTGAAACACACAGCCCGTGTCCTGGCTAGCCTGGTTGCGACATCGTGCTTATGTTCTTCATGTGAGTGTGTCATGTTGCCTGGTACTCCAGTTGCTACGTACCCTTGCTTCTGCTCTTACAGCTCTGTTTCACAAAATCCACCTTATCAGAGTTTCGCGATGACTATGATGGCGGTTCGTGTGCCTGCAGCGGAAGTTGATACTGGCAGCAGTGCACTAACCCCAAAACGCTTTTGCTTCCAGTGTTCTCAGTTGTCACTGTAAAAGTAAACACATCATCCGTTCAAGATTGTAGCTACTTATCAATGTCGCGTCTTGCCACTTGTCACCATGCCATGGCGGATTACTGCGTGTGGTTTCAGGCCATGCCTTCAGTGCAGGTGCTTAGAGTTTAGGATTAGAGGCACGAACTTCGCAACTCTAATCTCTTACAGGGTCGATCGTGCCGCGAACAGTCTCTACCCAATCATCCTAGCCCTCACTCCGTCGCCCAGCTAGTTTAGACTGTCACGACACGGGCGTGGATGGCTTATTGCTTAGAAAGGGGCTTAGAAAGTGGACCTAGGCCGTTGCCACTTTCTTTAGAAGCAATCACTTTCGGTGCAGTCAAGCCGCAAAACTTGCAGATGCTCGTGACTGAGGTTAGCCCGCCCGGCATGCGCGTGCCCAATGCCCGGACCACTTCCTGCACATATCTCCAACTTTGGCTTAAGCTTGTCGCACTCGTTGAGGTAGACAGGCCGATTTTTTTCCCTGTGAGGCTTGGGGCGATGTGATATCCTGCACGGAGATCTCGCGCCTCTCTCTCTCTCTCTCTCTCTCTCGGGGAGAGTATAGATGCAGCATCCCGAAACCTATGTCTGCAACTCGGTAGTGGGTTGATTTGGGCTAAGGGATTCGGATTAGGATTTGAGGTTTACGCTGCGGGCCGCGATGACCTGCATGTTGAAACGATACAACTGCCGCCCCGCACGGTCAACACCAAAACTGCCAAGCACGCACCAACCCCAGGCTCAATCGATGGAGTTTAGGATTTAGGGTTTAGGGTTTCGGGTTTACGGTTTTTGGGGTTTAAGGGTTTTCTTATTCAGGCTTTTGGGGGGCTGTCCTCTCGGAATTCGGACACGCCAGACGGTTCGCAGTCGGTAGACACTAGGCGCAACAAAGACCGCTTAAGCCCACAGTGCACTGAAAAGGGTAAGAACTCAGAGGATCGTGGGACTGAGCAACTAGGGCTTTATATACTGTGACTCCAGGTATATTTAAATGCTGAGCATTACAATGACACTGAAGACCCTGGGCCAAGTGACTTCAGGACGTCTGCAACATCAACCCCGAGTTCTGCTAACCTACGCTACTTGGAGGTTCATGGGTAGTTACAAGTAAGTGGGGTTTTAAGTCACTATACCAAACCCTTTTTAGGGGGATTATAACCCCGGAACAAACCATCTGCAAAGCGAAACTTACAAACCCAAAACGGCTACTCTAAACCCTAAACCCTAAACCCTAAACCCTAAACCCTAAACCCTAAACCCTAAACCCTAAACCCAACCCTAGACAGCCTCTGAAAAATTTGGGGCTCAGGCCTTGGCCTTGCGAAGCCTTAAGTTGAGACTTGAAAGTCTTGGCAAGCTTCTGGTGGGGCTCAAAGAAAAGAATAGGGTTTGGGGTTTAGGGTTTAGGGTTTAGGGTTTAGGGTTTAGGGTTTAGGGTTTATAATTAGAATAGGGTTTAGAGTTTTGGGGTATTTTATCCTGTACTTATAAATAAGGAACCTCAAAATAGAATAGGGTTTAGAGTTTTGGGGTATTTTATCCTGTACTTATAGATAAGGAACCTCAAAATGGTACGTAGTGTCAGCTTCGGGTGCCATGAAAGGACCGGCCGAGTCCTCATTCCAATACTCCGGCCTCGCGTGGCCTGTAGCCATCTTTGTGCCAGGCCACTCTTTGTATGGGTTCCCCTTTTAGGGTTTAGGGTTTAGGGTTTAGGGTTTAGAGTTTATGTACGGTTCCCCTTTTAGGGCTTAGGGTTTATGTACGGGAAAGGCGGTTTGTGGAGAGCTGCATGTCACAGAATATCGACACTAAGACTGCAAGCAGTGGTGCGTCATGGCTACCTAGCAGGTTTCAGCGGGACGGAACTCCCCGAGGTGCCCAGCTGGAACTTGGAGCGTTTGAGTACGAGTCTGCCCCATGCAACAGTTGTGGGGACACGCATGAAATCCGAGACGCAGCATCACAGTGACACATGCAAACAAATTAAACAAACCACAAACAGCACAGCAAACAGCACAGCAAGTAATTGTGACGCAAGATGCGACACCAGGAAACCCGCACCACCAACAAGCAACATCGCCAGATACTCGTGAGCATGATTTGCCTTCTTATGCAGAGTGGAATGAGCCTAAGGGCCACAACCCTACGAGGAAGGCATGGAAGCCAGGATCATGGATCATATTAGGGCCCTTGCTATGCCCTTCAGCCCTAATCATGACCATATCGAGCCCCTGTAAGACTCAGATCATCCGAGATTTCAGCCACTTTCTCGAGCCGGAGCTCTCTAGCCGACGTCAGCTACAAATTCCTCGCCCAAATAACCAAACTAGGGGTCCAGGTCTAGTTGTAGGGTGCTTTTGACGCTCACAACCTGGCAAGGTTTAGGGTTTAGGGGTGACTCTCCACTTCCTGAGCCCAGAATGCCTGAATCCTTAATCCGGATACACTTGCAGCAGTGCCTGTCACAGAGAGGTTGCCTCAGTGCCCAAGTGAAGCTTAATCCAGGGGCCTGAATAGAATAGGGCTTCGAAGCACATGAAAACTTTTAGGAAGCAAACCTAAAGAATCGAATCTATTGCAGCTCGAACTTTGGGTCCATTCCATACTTCATACCTGGGCTCGAGGGTTTCGGCTTACGGGCCTTCTCGGATTTGAAGCTTCAATGCCCAGAAGGACCCGGACCATCCCTTGCACAGGAATCCAAACAGAGAGAGAGAGAGACAGACAAACAGAGAAACAGAGAGAGAGAGCGAGAGAGACGGAGAGACAGAGAGACAGAGACACAGGGAAACAGAGAGGCAGAGAGAGTGAGAGAGAGAGAGAGACAGAGAGAAAGAGAGAATTAGAGGCGACCACCCACGGCAGGGTTCTTGTTAAGGACCAGAAGAAGGAACCCCCTTCATGTACTTTAACTCCCTATCATGGTCGCTTAAACTAAGTTACTAAACAAGAACCCAAAAGGATCCCAGGGTCCCTGAGCCCTGAGCCCTACCCATCGAAACTCCTACGTGCACAAACGAACCCTGAGCAGATATCACATATGATGTATCTACTATGAAGTATGTACATCTATTCTGAGCTTCATGTTGCATATTCCGCGCAAAATGTTACATCATACCTATTTATCAACTAGAAGACGAGTGGCCCGAAAGCATCATTAGCCATGAGTTTTGGAGCTATGTAATTGGAGCTATGTAACGTCACGGGGTCGAGTGTATAAAGTCTTAGATGGCAGCGCGTGGAGTCAAGTACATA